TTGTTTGTCTTTGTTGTATATAGGAGGGCTATTTATCTTTTCATGGCCACTATACTGAAAGTGTTGATCAACTCTAGGAGTTTTCTGGTGGAATTTTTGGATCTCTTAGCTATAGTATCATAACATTTGCAAAAAGTGATAGTCTGACCTCTTCTTTTCCAATTAGCACTCCTTTAATTTCCTTCTCCTGTCTTATTGCTCTAGCAATAAGCACTGTGTTGAAAGGGAGTGGAGATAGTGGACAAAAGGGACTATCTTTAGTGATATTGCTCCTTTGACAAAGATCAGGTGGCCACATTTATATGGGTTAATTTTGGGACACTCTGCAGTGTTTTATTGACCTACCTGTCTGCTCTCTCACCTCTACTGTGCTGTTTTGATGTCTGTGACTTTACAGTAAGTTGTAAAGCGGTATCAGTTATCCCACTTGATTCTTCTCTATCCTTGTCATGGGGCCAGTTTGAGTGTTTTGCCATTTTATATATAGACTGAAGCCAGTTTCTTGTTGTTCACAAAATAACTCCCTATATTTTGACTGTGATTTCTTTGACTCTGTAGGTCAAGTTGGGAGAAACTGACATCCTGACAACATTGGATCTTCCTCTCCATGATGTGTGCAATGTCTCTCCCTTTGTTTATTTCTTCTATAATGTCTTTACTCAGAGTTTGGTTGTTTGCCTCATATACAACTTGCATGTATTTTGTCAGATTTATATTTATGTATTTCAACTTTTTGGTGTCAGTGCGAATAGTGTTGAGCTTTTAGTTTCAAGTTTAACTTACTCATGGTGCTATTAATATCTGAAATACAAAAAGTGGAGTACTGATAAATCCTACAGATGTAAAAAAGTATGATGAGATGCTATTTCCCTCTACCATAACCAAAGACCAAGAAGGAAAGGAGACTGTAGGCCAATATTCCGTCTAAACACAGACACAAGTGGTGTTTCCACAGAATCTGGCAGGGTTTGATGGGATAAAGGCATCATGGCCAAGTTGGATTTACCTCAGAAATGTAAGACAGCTTCACATCTGAAAATAAATAGAAGAAATTTACAGAATAATCTCAATTCAGGAAAACAAAAAAGATTTCATATCAGTAGATATAGGAAAACATTTGATATAATTCAGCACTCATTATTAAAAAAAAAAAAAAAAGACCCTCTCAGTAAATGGGAGACTGCTAATGGCACCTGCAAAATACTATATCCAGCATCATTTCTAAAGGTGCTTCCTCAGTAAGAGCCCAAAGCTAACATGATTAAAGTAATTAAAAGAGGAAGCGATAAGGGGCTGGGTGTGGTGACACATACCTTTAATTTCAACAAATGGGAATTCAGGAGAAGAGGCAGGTGTCTCTCAGGCCAGTTGGGGCTACAGGGAGATTCTGTCTCAAAGGAAAAAAAAAAAAGATTAAGTGATGAAAATATAGGGTCTGTATTTGAAATTAGCCTATATAATATTTCCAATCTCAGACTTAATTCGTATTTATATTTTTGTGCATTTAAATTTTTTTATTTGTTCACTTTTATTTTTATGTATATGAGTGTTTTACAGCATGTATGTATGTGAACCTGAGTGTGGAAAATCCATGGAGACCAAAAGAGGGCATTGGATGCCCTGCAACTGGAGTAAAAGATAGTTGTCAGCTGCCATGTGGGTGCTGGAACCCAAACTTGTGTCCTCTGCAAGAATATTCACTGCTCAACCGCTGAGCCATCTCTCCAGGTCCATTTTTGCTTATTTTCACTCCATTTTATTTTGAGACTCCTTATCATCTGCCCCTGCCTCTTGAGCACCATAATTACAAGTACTTATCATAATACTTGGTACGATATTTATATTTTGAGAGTAACCATGGAAGAAATTATTTCATTACAGTTAAAGTTTCTTTTTGAGGTAAAAGCTATCATTATTCCCCCAATTTGAAAATGTAGATCAAGTACTATTTGGGCAATATAAATCAATATGTTGATATTAATTTTTACTCAGCAGCATTTGCACTTAGTATTTCAGCCAACATAGGGTCTTGAAATTAATAATATACTTAAACACACACACACATTTGGAGACTGTGTAGTGTTGTCAGAGCCAATAGAAAAAAATATCTTAAATACTTAGTTGCATGGATATTTATTTCCATCATTAATCAAATACAGTATTCTAAGAGACCAAACTCTAAACATCTGTGGACATTCCTTTCATCCTTTTCTGAAAATAATCACTATGCATTTATGGTTTATGTCTATTGGCCTGGACTCTCTCTTTCGCAGTATTTATATATTGTAAACCTGCCAAACTGCCTCAGAGCCCGTGATCCTCAGTATTGGAAGGGATAAAGAACCAGCAGTGAGAGTCAGAGTTTAGAAATTGGTAGAAAGTTAATGACATAAGCAGTTTTTTAAATCAAGAATAACAGCAAAAGATTGTCGAGTTGGCACCTCATCATTAATTGCAGCTGTTTTATTGAAGAATATCCATGTGTCTGTTACAATATGAATCAAGTTTAAGGCAATGACTTGTGAGCATGGTAGCAGTTTATAAATATTTGAAGGGTATAAATGTCATGAAAAAAGGAGGCTTCGGTGTGCACCATGGAAAAAACATGGAAATCGACGTGGAGTCACGAGTTTAAGGCATTCAGCAATGCAGTTCTAGTAGGAAGAGAAAAGATTGCTCTGTGAACAGTCATTTCTCTGTTGATTTGAAATACAATATATGAGGAAATATGGCCTTGTTCTTTGTCTATAACCCTGTCTGCTTACTCTTTAAATTTTAAAGACCTATGGCCCATTTAGAGCAGTAACAGCTGAGTGAAAGAGACGTGAGCCGCTCAAAGCTCAACCATTGCAGATTGATTGGGCATCTGACCATAAAATATCCCACATGAAGGAACAGAAAAGCTTTGTGGAGATGAAGTTGGCACTGTTGTCAATAAGACACTGGAATGTTACAGAGAGAGCAGCAGTTTAAGACACTTCCTGACTAGTCAACCCTATTTCTTATTCACAGCACAAGGAAATCAGACCTTTTCCCACATCATGGCTCTACCTCTTTGCAGGGGATAAACGACTTGTTCTTTCCCTCTTTTCAGTTGTTAATTTGTTTGTGTGCTCACTCTTGTGAAATTCTGGTCACCTCTCTGGTGAACCACTATCTGCCTTAATTGCTTATCACATAATCTTAAAAGAAGCAGGAAGAGTGGGGGAAGTTTTTATTCGATCTGGAAATGGTACAAACAGCAGCAATAGCCTTTGTAAAATGGTCCAACCTGAGCATTAGTTAAAGGGGAAGCTGCTATTCAGTGTCAATTTGCTGTATCTTGATTCTATCACTATATTTAACTATGCAGTTTTGTCATACAACTGAAGTGAAAAGACTTTAACAGGAAGCAGATTCCCTAATTTGCATTAGGAAGTGGCTTGTCCTTAAACCACTAACTATGGTGTGCAGGCCCTTTACAGCATTATCTTCCATAATTTCTTTCTGATGCAATCATTTGGTTTTTAATGTGCTTAAGAGATGACCAATGATAATCTTGTTAGTACATAAGAGTTGTTACAGATGCTAGTGAGGTAGATCAGTGGGTAAAGGTGCTTGCCACCAAGCATGATGACCTGAGTTCAATCCCTTGGTTGTACTTGGTGGAAAGAAAGAACTGACTCCTGCAAGCTGTCCTCTGACCTTAACTTTTACCATAGCACGTGCATGTGGGTACCTACACACACACACACACACACACACACACACACACGAAAGTGTAAAACAAAGCAGAGTAAGTAGACAACCTATACAATGAGAGAAAAATCTTTGCCATCAGGGACACACACTACATTCAGATTCCATCTCACCAGTAGGAATAGTTATCAAGAAGACAATTGACAACAGACTTTGGCAAGGGTGCAGAGAAATAGGAACCCTTCTATATAACCTTGTGCAGCCATTGTGGAAGTCCACGTGGAAGTTCCTCAAAAAATTAAGTAGAGTCTGGGGATATAGCTTACTTGGTAGAATGCTTGCCTAGCATGCACAAAGTCCTCTGTTCTTTCCCAAGTGCCACATAAATCTAAATCCAGTGTGGTGATGCACATTGATAATCTTAGTACTTAGGAGATGTAGGTAGAGAGATCAGGAGTTCAAAGTTATTCTACGGTATATAGTGAGTTTGCATCATTAACTTGCATTTCAAGCTAACTAGGAAACTGGAGTTAAAATAATCTTTAACAATTTCCTTTCTTCTAGACTTTTTTTTTAAATAAAGTTTTTGCAGATGTGTTAATAGCCGTACTTTATGTTAAGCTCATACATTTGCTCTGTACTCAAATCCTCTTGCTATAATCGAGTTCATAATAGAGGTTAAGGGAACTGTGAAAGCGGTCTTACCATAGCTCTTGACATGCTTCCCTGTGAAGTAAAGTTGCAGAGTAGCTGCATCCAACTTCTACTTGGTCCTCATGAGAGCAGAAACTTCTGTCAATAAGTCAGATGCAGGGGTTGTGTTATTGAGAGCCTTAGCCCATCACAGCCACCTCAACTCTTATTTTATTTATGTGTGCAAACAGACTTGAAGGTAGCTTTAGCAAAGTTCAGATTGAGTGAAAAATTGTTAGTTTAGCTAAGGACTGGAAGAACATTTCAAGAGTGACAATAAGAAAAGATAATTTCCTCATTTATTTTTACTTTATGTGTATGAATGTTTTGCCGGCGTGTGTGTAAGTTCACCTGTGTTGTGCAATGGCTGAGGAGGTTAGAAGACAGTGTCAGATCACCTGGAACTGGAGTTAAGGGTAGTTATTAGATACCACATGGGGGCTGGGAATTGAACCTGGGTCCTCTGCAAGAGCAGTCAGTGCCCTTAACTGCTGAGCCATCTCTCTAGCCCCCTATAATTTGCTTATAAAGCCTTCTGAAGCCACTTTTATTGATTTAAATAAAACGAATATTTCTATTAGTTACTGAAATGGTTTATCTTCATTCTCAGTTTGGCTAGATTCAGAATCACCTTGGAAACACACCTCTGGGTATGTCGCTGCTGTGTTTGCAGAACCTCATGATGAGGGCAGGGCAGACAGGGACAGCTGCTGAGTCCAGCATGGTGTCTTGATTTGAGTGTGTTGAACCAAACTTTCAGTCCTAGAATGAAACCAACTTGTCATGATATACCATCTTTTAAATGTGTTCCTTTATTGTTTTGATTTTTAGTTACATTTTTCATCCATTGGTATATAGTCATCGTACTGAGTTCCATGCAGACATTTTCATACAAGCATACAACGCACCCTGAGTTCTCCCTTAAGCATCCTCACCTCCCTTTCTCACCCCCCTCTTCATGTTAGTCTTCTTTGTTCCCCTAGACAGTTTCTCTTCTACTTTTCGTACTACATGTATACATATGATTTTATGTGCCAACATAAAATCTAGGAACTACAAATGAGAGAGAACACATGCTAGGACATGATTAGATCAAATGAGAAAAGCTGAGGTAGGAAAGTAGCTGGAAGAGGGAAATTGGGACAGTGTTAGGGTTCACAGAGTTTAAAGAGTCCTGATGCTGTGGGATATCTAGGGGGAGGGAGAGAGAGAGGAGTGGGAAAGGAAATGAGTTGTACATAGGAGAATAGTTAAGAGTACAGAATAGAATGCGTGGAGAGTGTACACAACAATCATGACAAACGAAGCCGTATAGAAAGTAAAGCTGCAGGACTGTTAAAAGATATTTATACGAAAATGAAATTTAAAAAATAAAATGTAAAAACCCACATTAACAATAACAAAAAAGCCAAAGTGTATTAAAAATACATTAGGTTAAAAATATTGACATATCAATATATGTGTGCTGTGTGTGTGTGTGTGTGCTGTGTGTGTGTTTGTGTGTGTGGTGTGTGTGTGTGTTTGTGTGTGTGTGTGGTGTGTGTTTGTGTGTGGTGTGTGTGTTTGTGTGTGTGTGTGGTGTGTGTGTGTGGTGTGTATGTGTGTATATTTCTAGAGTGGTGGATTTTAATGTATATATTAAAAAGAAGTTGAAGTAGTTACTTATAACTGGGGGACATTGCCACATACTAGACACCAAAAACAAACAACATCAAAACCCAGTGCTCAGAATGGACTCCCTCTTGAAGCTATTAACCAGTTGTACCAGAAACCCTCAAGAAACACTGGACATTAC